CGAGAATAACTGATTTCTTTCTTTCAAACTAATGTAATCTATATATTAGTCCCAGTGATTAATCATTGCGATCAAAGTTTCCAGTCAATGACGATGAAACAAGTTCAGGGACTATGGATTGATATGCTTAATGTAAATACTGCTTCTTTGTGATTACTTTGTTGTAAGAAAATTGGAAAAGAAAAATATTTTTCTTTCGTGTATATTTTAAGCCAAACTTGTCTACGGTTTTACGATACTGAATTTCAGTCATCAATTTTTTATTTTATTTTTTTGCTTTCGTTTAATTTTTGTACCGGATTAAAAATTCGCACCAGTCAAGAACATGCATGCATGCAATCAGAAGCAATGATTCGGGCACTGATCCAAATTGTTTAGGCAAACTACTCCGCTTAGCATACAACAAAAAATGTATGCGGTTTCGATACCCATGGTGTGATTTATAAAACTTAATACTCAATTCTGAATGTTTAATAGTTAATTATAACTTAAAAATATGGAGTTTTTTACCGTCAAAAATATTTAATTCTAGATTAGAAATATTAAACTCATAACCATCAATTTTTACTCCAAATTACTAGTATGTGTTACGGAGAATTGTAAGTGACGACTAGTTATTACATCACTCAAAGCTTAATTTAGCTCCATGTCTAGGTTGTGTTGGAGTGTTAAAGATTTCTCCACCCTTCACCATAAGTCAGTGACGGAACGAGAATTTTCAAATTGCGGGGTCGAAAATAGGATTATTCAACCGTCACCGTAGGGTCGAACTGAAAAATTTTCAAATAACGGACACCCTACTAAGAAAAGATTTGGCCAAATCCGGCCAGCCGGGGGGTCGATCGACCACCCTGACCCCCCTTTAAATCCGTCACTGCCATAAGTCAAATGTTCGAAACTCGCCATGGACATGGATCAATCTTAAATTCTTTGGCCAGCTCTCTCACTGATCAAGGTGCATACCACGGGCGAGGAGGATTAGTCACTGTTGTCGACGATGGACACCCAACAATATGAAAAAAAAAAAAAAAAAGACAAGCTTGACGTAGCTCCATTAACAAAGTGGGGGCTACGTTTTTAGATATCTATAATTTTGCATTCCCTAATGACAATAGTTAGTTTCCATAAAGTATAAGTTCTGCGTAAATATTACTGTTGGCAGCATGTGTATGCCCTGCTTTTTCGGTATTTCTTAAAGAATTTTTACATAATCTTCCCAAACCCTTCTTTGATTCATATGAATCTGCTTTGATTTGGATAAGACTGTAAAAGAGTTTTGGTCAAATTCACAACAATAGTAATAATAAATGGAACATCACAAATTGACCACTGTAGACGTGATATTGAAGATTCTTCAGCAAGACCTAGGTTGGTTCTGCATGTTTCCGATACACTGTACAAGTCTGATGTTGAATGTTTTTCTAGAGAAGGTGAAATAAAAATAAAAATAAAAAAAAATCCAACACCATCCATAGGACTGCTCGAGTCCACGATGTATGATGCACTACAAGAAAAAAGGGTTTAAATTCGCAATTTAAAATGTTTTAATAAGCCTTCTATGGTCACACTAATCTTTTCATCACATTGATTCAAAATGTGATCCATTCCAGTGTGTTAATAGGTTTAATGAACTAAAACAACATTTACAAATCTTATGACATTTACAAGTGTGGTGACTAAATTTTTTTACCATTTACTATGATATCAAGATATTTACAAACTGTGGTGATAATTAAATTACCTTTTACCTTTCACTATGATATCAAGATATTTGCATCATTGCTCAAATCCCATGTGACTACGAGCTTGTCCTTCTTTTGTCTTGTAGAGCTCTATTTATCTTTGTTGATTGTGTCCATTCCAACCTCATATCCATCAAAGAAGATTGTAGTAGAATCTTCTAGCTCCTGGTTCAGTTATACATGAACAACTCTATCGCAATATTTTAGCATGTATCCCACACCAGTATTTGGTGTCCAACCATGTTTAGCAAAAACGTCGGCTTCGTCTTATGTAAACTGATCGTGTGTGCACAATGCATTGTGCCTAATGGATTCAAATCTACACAATATAGGAGACGAGTTCGACGAACAATTAATATTGAAGTCATAATGTGCCGTTTTCTTTTGGAGAATAATAAGCGTACTTGAAGAAGAAAGAGACAATGAAAGAGCACAATACAAATTAGGTTAATAATTGTAGCATTCGTCTTTTGAACGTACACAACGAAACAATTTTTAAATTCAACTTCCGGAGACACATATGACCCAGAAAAATTATTTATTCATCTAATTAAATCTGCTTTCTAATCACATCTCACCACCGAAAAAGCCTGTGCGGGTTCATGATATTTATGGTTCTTTTTGTTTCTTTTTCATTTCTTTTTGTACTTTTGGTGGTGCGGCTGTATGCTTTTTTTTTTTAAAACCATCCTGTCAGTGGGTACATCTGGAACTCGAGTAACCACATCTCAGTATGCATATATTTGCGAGTCATCATTGGCTTAATATGTTACTTGTAACTTTGACAGATAATTTTCAAATGGCTAGTAAATCAGAATTTTAAATGCAATATGATGCACTATAGTTATCCCTTTCCAGAGTATACTATTGAAATGATCCTTTAAATTAACCAAAAAAATTCATCAATAACATTAACGATTCATTGATTTTGTCACGTATATTTGTATTTTCAACTAATTTAGGTTTCTTTTTTTTTTTGGGCTTTTTTCCTTATCCTTTTCCTTATACTTAATATAAAGTTACAGTAGGCAAGAAATTAAATGACCAAGAAATATTCAGGACCACCTTCAAAGCGATTTCGTCCGTCTAATGGTCTCGATATGACGTCAGCGACTTATTTGGGGTATAAACAGAATTTCATAAATCTCAATTTAAAAATTCCGTTGAATTTTATCGTAAAAACCCCAACCTAGTAAGAGATCTATTAGGTTAATAGGCAATTAAGAAAACACCAGAACAAGAAAATCATTCTCAATACAGCAAAGATTATTAATCCACATATGAACTCTACAGATAAGTAGTCATTATGGGCGTCAATGACCAGATATGACAGCAGAATGAGGCCATATTATGATTATGCCTAACATAAAATAATAGTTAGTAGGTGATTATTGTAATCACTGGATAGTTTCACATAATAGTTTGACATACCCAAAATGGGCAATGCGGTCTAATCAGTAAAAAGCCAAAGAAATTAATAAACGGCGTCTCCTTCCCCTCATACATTTGAAAATTACCACTTCCCGATTTATTCTCCGGCCACCATCCCTCAGAAATCAGCCCACCACCGCGACCCATCACCACAACCCCGCCGTCGGCGTTCCCACGGACACCATGTCCTTCTGCACCACCCCCGGCCGTCGGCGTTCCCATCCCCTCGTTCAGATCCACAATGGAATGATACAAAAGCGCACGAATCAATGAGATGCAACCGATTACTAAAGTAGGTCCTGTAGTATTGCAACCGATGGATTCAAATTTCTAGATTCTTTGTGGTTTTGCTTGATTCAAGTACATTTTAATGATTTTTTTTATGTGACTAAGAGTTGTGATTTCTATTGCATTCTCTGAAGTGGGGTTTCAATATCTGTAGGGAGGGGGGACTTGAATCATCCACCTGCCTCGTTCCCACCGTCACCGCACCACCGCCGTCGGCTACTCCACCGACATCATGGTCTTGGGCCCTGGATTAATTTTGGCCCAACAATCAACAATTTTTTATTACCACCTTCGAACACGAATAGGAAACCACCAGGAAAATAAAATTACCAATTGTATTCCAAATCGGATTAGAATCGGATTTACAATTGCAATCCGTTCTATAAAAACCCCAGCACAAATTAAACCACGACATCCTTCCTTCACAGCTTTTCAACTCTCGGAGAACCTCTTTTTATAGCTTTCCAACTTTGTAACTCCCCGCTCGTAACAGGTAAATTTCTCCCTTTACAGTTTACGTTGTTGATCGAGTTTGAATGCGTTTGGTTTTGCTCAAATTAGATGCTCAATTGTAGCTTTGATTTGGTAGCATTTGGCTTTTGGTTTTGCTCAACTGAGATGCTCAATTCTAGCTTCAATTTGCTAGCGTTTGCTTTTGCTCAACTGAATTGGTCAATTCCATTATCAATTTGCATTTGGTCTATTCTCTTCCTAAATCTTACTATTGGCAATGCGTCCAGTAACTTCTGGGGTGATTTTTAATTGTTAAGTTCTTTGTTTTTGGGATTTCTCCCATTCCCTGGTTATGTTAATGTTAGTCTCGATCATAAAGAATTTTGTTGTTCTTGAGTTGCATCATTGGGGGGATTTTGCTTCTTACCATTGGTTTATATGGACATAAGTTGATTGGCAATTTTGATTCTTTTCTGGTTGGTGAGATAGTGATATTGCAAGTTAGGCATAGGAATTTTTTTTTATTCTTTTATGCTTAAATTAGTGTTATAAATTTTATCCAAGAATAATGATACTGATTCATTGTTTTGAATGTTTAAATCATGAACACACTTACTGTTTGACGATAATAACATTAAAAACATAAACACTCTTACTGCTTGACTTTCACTATTGATTACAAACATTATTGTTGATGCTTATTGGTGAATGGTTCCAATCTAATATGCTTAGTATATTCTGTTCACATTGATATTTTTATTTAATCCTGCTGACATGAGTTACACTTTTCAGGTTTATAGTCGTTCTTTCGATTCAATTATGCTTATTTTTTGGTTTGCCTGACTTTAAAGTGTTTTTAATATATGATGATTCTGCTAATTCTATTGTTACATTTAGTTCTTTTAAGCTGTGCATTTGGTAGGTTATATGATTTTCTCATTTAGTAATATCAGGCATGCTAAACATCGTACATTGCTTTTATCGAGTTATGCTAAATGTTTCCTTATTGTTTCATGAAAATAGATTTCAGCTCATTTAAAGTGCAATATCGTGCATCTGCATCAAAAGGAATTTCTCCAAAACCAAATGGCTCCTCATGCACCAAAGATGATTGGGAACAAAGTTGAAATTGACAAGCTGAACGACTCTGATCAGCCTTGCAGTGTTGTTGTTATTGTCAAGGAGAAGCAAAATCCTTTTGGTAACTACACTAAAACCCAGAAGATGACATTCAGTGATGAAACAGTGAATTAACTTTTCTATGTTTGATATTTGAGATACTAACATTGACATCCCCTGTTCACCATACTAATGTTTGATTTACAACTGTACGGTGCAAAAGTAGAAGCCATCATGTTTGGACAGGCTATCGACATCATGGCACCACGATTCCAGGCATGCAAAAAATACCGCATCTCCAATGCACCTATCCAGTTCATAAAACCAGAGTATATGACTCCTGGTCTTACTAAACAATGGGTCATCAGTGTTGGGACGGTTGTTGAAGAGGTTAATGAACCAATTACTGCTCTTGTGACCAAAGAGCAATACACACACTTTGATTCCCTCAATAAGTTTGCTGGTGTTCAAGATGGTTTTGTTGGTAAGTATATCTGATTTTGTTCACCTGAAAAAATCCTACCAAAAAGTAAATTTATGTTCATCTATATCCTTTTTCAAAACCTTTTTACTGCAGATGTTATTGGTGTCATCGTCGAGAGAAACCACCCGCAAACTGTTACGACCCGAACTGGGAAAAAAAGAATGATCCAGAAATTCTGTATGCTGAATGAAGAGTAAGTCCACCACAATGGTTTTCTAATTATCATATATATAATGTAGAAATACTATTTAAATAAGAAAATTCTCTCAGAATGCTCAACCCACTTTTGAATTCATTTACGTAATACCTTCACAATCAGGTTGCAATATGTGAGATTGTCACTGTGGGAAGAATTCCACCAGGATGTCGGAACATTATTATCTGAACAAGTCCAAGCTAAGAGCTACCCAACCGTCGTTTGCCGCCGAATGCTTGTCTCCGCCTACAACGGTACACTAATAAGCCCTTTTCAAAACATACTTCTCGACTACACATTTTCTACAGACTTGTTTTATGATTATTTACAAATCACCTTAATCAGGAATCGAGGTAACCACTTCACATAGATCGGTGGTCTTGATCAATCCTCCTTCTGACAAAGCAAGGAAATTGAGAAACTGGTATGTAATAATTTCCCTTAAACAACATTGTTTTCAACTTTTGCAAAATTTCTCAACACCATATTAATTACGCGTATTAATCTTTTACAGGTCACAGCAAACCAAGATCAAAATCGATCTTTTCTTGCAAAATAAACCTTCATCCTCGTCTACCTCTCATATCAGCCACACAAACCTTTCCCACATCACTCCAATCACACATATTGATGACGAACAACAGGTTGGTACTTTTGGTTATTAATAATCTTTATGCAACCTGTTTTAGTTCATATATCCATCTATCTAAATTAGCTAACTTTTACACTCTGTCCGACAAAAATAAATAGGATATCTTGGTCAAAGTTCACGTGAGTTTAGAGACATACCACAATCATTCTACTACATGGCTTGCAAGGAATGTGGCACTGGAACCACTGCAATCTATCAACAAGATTTTAAATGCAACAAATGTTCAGTGAAGCAATCAGCAACCAACCCAAAGTATGAACAAATCAAATTTCTTAATATATTAGTTCTGAACCATACATGCAAGAACAAAACATTTTGAAATCATACTTTTGTTATTGTAGGTGTCGTCTAAGCGCTAAGATTCATGACGAGACCGGATCAATCCAAGCTACCATTTTCGGCAATATCGCAGAAAAGATATTGGGTTTCACTGCAACAAAAATCGTAGAAACCCCTGCAAAAGTATACATGTTCTTTTCCGCACTTTCTTTCCTTTATACTTGCATCGAAAAAATGACGCATCCTTAATATCTTATTTTTTCTTCTAACAGATAAATCTTCGAGAAATACATGAGTTACTAGAGACCAAAACATTCCTATTTCACCTGAGAGGATCAAAAAGAATGTACAGAGGGCTTCGGGATTACTATGTTGTCAACTTAATTGAGGACAACGGTTCTTTTGTGACCCCATTACTAATACCCGCCAGAGACAGTGAACTCACAGATGAACTTCCTGAGGAACCCACCACTGAAGTTATTTCGATCAAACAAATAGGCAACCGACATGAGGTCAGTTTGTCGCTAAATCAATAGCTCCTTTTGCCTCTGCATATCTTAAATCCACTTGTTTTCCTAAATTCTACAAACTTCTGGTTTTCCTCTTTGTGAAACAGAACGTTACGGTGAGAGTTTACATTGATTTCAAAGGCATACCTCAAACGTTTTCCTATCTCTCTTGCGAAAACTATGATGCGGGAACCTCACACATGTATAATACTCCATTCCAATGCACCATATGCAAAGTGAAATAATATGCAGACAACCCAAGGTACAAAAAAAACCATTTTCACATGCCTAATAAACACCACATTTTCAAAACAAATAACCAAAGATTTTAATTACTGCCTCAATTTTCCAGATGTCGCATAAGGTTGAACCTGCGTGATGATACAGATCACTTGCAAGCTAATGCGTTCGGTGTGTTGAAGTTCCAGACTCACCGCGATCGCCAGGGAGCCTTCGCATTGCGAGAGATCAACAACGCTCAATCAACGTCCTGGATCGGCCACCGTTCCGGCCCTTTCCGGTGTTTCCTTTGTCAAGGTTTCCAATTCTGGAATCTACTCCAACAAGCTCTTTGAAATCGCTGTATGCTCTCTTTCTGGTTTTTCCCCTTTCAATTTCGTAATTTTCTCGTTGAGTTTAATTTTTTTTTTCTCTAAGCAGCTTTCTCTAAAATTTGAACTTCACTTTTGGTTTTGTAATAATTCAGTGCTGATTCTGTTGGGGGTATCTGGTTATAACCATAATGACGTTATCTTTGTACCTAAAAATTCTTTAAGTTAGAAAGAAATTAGGCAGTTGAGAAGCTTGGCCTTATTAGTCTGATAATTATAGTATTGCTTCATCCTCATGTATTTTTTTTTTTCTTTTTTGTGTGTGTTCATATGATCATAGGGAAGCCTGCCAGCGGCCTTTAAGTAGATACATTATAATAATGTATTTGGTGTTTGTGAAGTCTCTCTGTTACTTACTTAATATTGTTTTATAGCATCAAATATAGTTTGCCTAATATTGTTTTATTTTATCCAGCTAGCTCGCTTCTGCCCTGCTAATTGCTCGTTGCTTGCACATTGCCTCTCCTTTCTTTTGGGTAAAAGGTGATGCTTGATCGGTGATCAGATGCTCTGTTTATTGGTTTGGTTGTTAAGCGGATAGGCAATCAGATATTATGCTTTGGAAGTCAACCAGGTGAGCTATCATCTTCCTCTTATAAAGTCTTTATTGATAATTTGTTGGATCAGTACTTTATCATGGTGCCTTTTAAAAATTTCTTAAGCTGGCTGCGTTTGGTAAGAATAAATTATTCTTAACATGAAGATGAAATTAATGTAAAATTACATACCCCCTTGACTTTCTGTGTGGCCTAGTTTTCAATTGCTGTTATCCATTCTTGACTGAGTTTCTGACAATGCTTGTAGTCAATTTAGTTTCGGGATTTTGTATGTTGTGTTTGTTTAGTCCTGCCCTAGAGATATGAGTTTATCAAGCAAGATACAAATAAATGTGATGTGTCATATGCTTCCACCATGTAATTTTTGCTATGTTTCTGTATTTTCTAGATGACAAAGCGTCATTTATCTTCAAGAATAGATGGGATGGATGGGAAGGAGCTCTCATTTCTAGGCGTGAGTGGTAGCTCTTCTCTTTCACTACAATGCACTTATCCTGAGTGATAGAGAGCCAAGCTATTGTTGGTCCATAAGATATTTTTTGAATATTACATAGTTATATTTTAAAAAGATTTAAGTGTACGATTTAAAAAATATAGATTGAAAGGTATTTTTGACCGTTTACCCAAAATTGATGATGGTGTTATGTCATGGTAATGAAACATTTGTCCTTATCCTTATACTTAATATAAAGGCACAGTAGGCAAGAAATTAAATGCCCAAGAAATATTCAGGACCACCTTCAAATTGATCTCGTACGTCGGATGGCCTTGATATGACGTCAGCGACTTATTGGGGGCAAAAAGGAAAATGCATAAATTCAATTTCAAATTAATGAATGAGAAAAATCTGAATTTTTGGTAAAAAAAAATCCCCAGATACCAAAACAACGTCGTTTTATACCCTTATTTTATTCCCAGCAGTGAAAACGACGACGTTTTTGTATCAATGTTTTCTTTTAAAAAAGAAATTTTGTTGAATCCCCGAAACAAAATAACTACAGATTATACTTGCGCTTCATCTTTCCTTTTTTCCTTCTTGTTTTTTAGCCTCCTCCCTCTTTTTTAACACCTCTATTTACGCTAATACCCCCACCATTTTTTGGGACCGAAGAATTATATATGAAAAATTGTTACAGACACGACTTGGAACTGCAGTTCCTCCACCGCGACTAAACCTATAGCTGCGGCTAAAAATCAAACTGTCGCTAAATACCACCTTCAAAATTGAATTGCCGCGCTAATCACCATAACCTCGTGCAGAGTTGTTGAAGTTTATCGTCGGAACGTTTGTCGATTGAGTCCATAGATTCGATTTTGCAACCTTCACCGGTGAGACTGTTGAAGACGAAGATAAAGAGCAGTAACGAGAAGAGGAAGGGGCTCTAATCTTGATCGATCATAGATCGTGGTGCTAGACAAGATATGAACATTGTTCTATATACACTACTTTTTCTACTTTTTATTTTTTTTCTATTTGGGCTCTAATTCTATTGTTGCGAAGAGTCGCTCATCGGATTTCCCAGAGGGTTTTTTCCTCTTCTCTCCCCACTACCGTGGATTGTGACACCAACTCACTCACTGGCAAAAAAAAAAAAAAAATCGGTCTTTCTGTACTATTGCTGCTGCTTCTTTTTCCTTAGAGTCTACTCCTAATCTTTTCTTCTTCCTTTTTTTGTTGATTTTTGTTGGTGTATACATTGCAGAACTTTCTAATAGGGTAGAAACCAGAATTGCATAATTTCCGCTATTTGTTTCTGTTGAGAGCTCTCCGCGCGAAAAGAGGATACCAAACCACATCAAATACCAAGGACAATCAGAAGGACTTATTTGCTGGGGCTCTCCGCAGTTCCTGAATTGTTTTATTCTCCAAAAGGTTTGTTTTGGTGTAGTTCTCTTTTTATTATGATTTATTTTGATTCTGCTTTTGCCATTCAATTGGGAAATAGTTACAGCATCATGAAATCTTGAATGATATCTAATCTTGTCTATGCTCACTGAATTTCACTTGGTCCTAATCTTTTCTTATTTTTTAGGTTGCCTAATCTGTTTTTTTTTTAAATGGATATTCCAATTAAACTTCGTGGAGATGGTATTGTCTTCGTCGTCCTCCTCGTAAGAATTTGATTATTTGTTTAAGTTATTGTTGATTGGGGATTCTGGAGTAGAAAAATATAGTCCTTTGCTCAGCTTTACTCCAGATACCTTCGAAGATCTCTCTCCTACCATAAGTAATACTGATTTTATTTTTCTCTTTCACATCTTTTGTATTAAATGAATTTGAAGTTTTGATCTCAATATTCACATATGGTTATGATTTTGGATGGAAAAGTAGGATTTTACGAGAATATTTGAGTTGCTGAATTCTATTTAATCTAGCAGAATTTCATATAATTGTGTTTGTTTTAGGTTGTTGTCGGTTAGTCATCGAATTGAACTCTTTCAAAATATGAAGAATTACAAGGAGACTGAGAAATAGAGAGATATTATCAGTAGAAATAGTAGAATTGTGGAACCTGAGCCATGTTATAAGGACCTTCGCAAGATAGTTCCTTTTTAAAATTTCTTTTTTTGAATGCTATTGAATTGGCCGAATGTTTGTTCTTCTTTTGTGTTTCAAACCAATTTTAAATGTACATGTATGTTAGTTGGACAAAGGTGCAGACCTTTCAACCCTGGTAAAAGTTCTCATGACTTACTATTTTTTGGGATATGATAATATTTGCATTGGTGTGTTGTATACTGTCTCCACCAAACCTGGTTGATTTTGAACCTATTTAATTGCAAAGTGAAAATTGAAGTGGAAAGGAGGCCTTTTTATGCCTAGGTTTGAACACATAAAATTTTGGTTTATTGAACTGGTAGACATTCTTTGTTGTTGTTCCCTAAATGTGATTTATATGAGAATACATTATCAATCACTTTAAAATTAATTGGGTTACAGAGGTTCCTTTACTGTCAACAAAGTGAATCACGTGGAAGACTAATCAAATGTAGTTTAGTATACGATCGCAACAACATTACATCAAATTGGGACCAAAATTTGTCATAAATCCTCACTCCACTAGATATCTGCACCAAAATTTCTACTTCTTTTACTGACTTTATATACTTGTGATATTGTAATGTACTCTTTTTCTGACTTTATGTTTCTAATATTTGACTGTTTTATAATAAAGAACTAAAATACCATCTCTTTATATGTCTATGGTTCAAAAAAGTTGATTAGCCTTGAAAAATTACCTCCATGTCTAGATTTGAATATTTTTCTCTAACTAATACGCCTAGGTTCTCTTTGATATGTATGCTCGATTATTTGAAAATTTAGAATATAATGATGAGCTACTTTAGTAGCATGATAAGCCTCTTGGTCTAAGGGAAAAAAATAATAGCATACGGATTTGCTACATGCATTAGTGACCCACTAACTTGATGTCCAAATTATGATACTTGATTTGTGGTAAATTTTACTTTACCAGGCAAATAAAATGCTGGACACTTGGCTACTCGTCTTAATATTAGTACCTGATGATTGGGAATGCTTTGGGGAGAAGCTCACGTTTCTGCTTTGGATTGACTAAGCATAGAGCATACTGCATTACTTCATATGTAAAGCTCATTGCCTTTTTGTTATTCTTTAGGTTTAGGAACTTCACTGATTGTACAAGATACAGATAAAACTAGCGAAGAATTTGCAATTGAAAGGGGTAGGTACATTAGGAAAAGATAATCACTATCTCTGTACCATTTAAAAAAAACTTTGTTTCGTAAGACTTTTTGGTGGCTTTTGCTTCTCTGTCTTACTATGCTTCTTGCAATCTATGCCAACAGTCATTTGGTTGTCAATAGTGAGAAAAAAGATAAGTATTTTGAGATTCTTTACCCAGTAAATGTCAAAAATAGGAATCTATTATGTTATTCTAGAAGATCTTTCAGAGAAGGAAACACTCTTCTATAACTTTGTGCATAATCGTTTCTATTGTTTATCCTTAATTTTCTTCTTATCATTTATTACATAATTTCTTCATCTATCTGGAACAACTTTCATTGGTTCATATTCTTCAGCTGCTCGCCAAACAACCATGAACTATGCTTCCCACGCACTTAGTTGATTCTTAAGATTTGCTCAACAAATAGTATGGCGAAAAATAATTTCATTGAGTTTGATCTTATGCAACTACTTGACTCTTGCTCAGTAAAGTCATGATCAACTAATAGGTTTGGAATTTTTTTGGCATACATCCCTATACTTTTATTTTTACTGCTAATTAGGCATTAGTTTCTGGTCTCCATTTCAATTTTTTGCACCAATGTTTCCATATGTCAAACCTTTTCCCACAAACCTGGTCTGATGGTAGTGTTGACAAGTGATTCTTTCATAATCCTGTGCGGGCTTAAAATCTAGCCTTTATAAAAATAGTTCTATTATTGTTATTCTTTGCACTGCTGCATTTAAGGTAATGCCGCCATTGCTGTCAAGACAAATCCAAAACAATGGGAAAGTGGTTCATTCCAAGCTCATTTTACCCGAGAAAACAAGGCTTCTTCGCCTCCTAAGGCTACTACTTTGATTCTTTTGTAACAACCGATCCTAATTTATGAGCTCCTAATAAAGAAATTCATAAAGATCGAGTACTACCTTTTACTTCTTTCCGATTTGGTGAATACAAATAGTCTTATCGACTAAAGAAATGAATAAAATACAAAGTATAGTCAAAGATAAAAAACAAGCTACATTTCATAATAAAAAGATTAAGTAATTGTAATTCAAATTATTAACATAGAATTCAATAAAACAAACTATTTTTATACTTTCTCTGTAGTATTACTTTTTGGTTACGAACACAGTATAATAATTATATAATACAAACCGGTCGCATAACGCGCGACAAAGACAAGCCTAGTACTTAATATAAAGGCACAAGAAATATTCAGGGCCTCCTTCAAATTGATCTCGTCCGTCGGATGGAGTTGATATGATGTCAGCGATTTATTATGGGTATAAACGGAACTTCATAAATCTCAATTTAAAAATTCCGTTGGATTTTGGGGAAAAAACCCCAACCTACAAAATGACGTCGTTTTGGATAATGTCATTTATTGGACATAAAATTTGTAAAGCTTTTGGAAAAAACCCTTGCCTTCCAAAAACGTCATTTTGGGTTTTAAGCTTTAAAAGAACTTATAAAAATAAACTGAATTTTTACAATCATTATTATCACCGTCATCGCCCTCCCCCATCCTCCACGACGCAATCAGCTCCACGGCTTCCCATGGCATCCAAATCAAAATCCAGACTTTGGATTCGAAGTTGGTTGTGCGGCTGAGGTGTTGGTGGTGATGGTTGTCGGCGAGTTAGAATTCCATTCTGATTTGTATTAGGGTTGTAGAAAAACAATTTCCTAATTGTCGGCGAGAAGTTCAACGCGGCTGACAACTTGAAGCCTTCAAGATCTCATCCCTAATTGGACTTCCTGGTATTTGTTTTCCTCACAGCCAGTGGTG